TTTAATGATGCCCATTCAGCAATAAACTTTAACATAGAGAAGAAAAGTAATGACAGTATCTCATTCCTAGAGGTCTTCATGGCAAGGAATGAAGATGGCATACTAAGGAGAAGTGTGTACAGGAAACCTACAACAACAGGTCAGCACACTCATTTCTTGAGTTTTGTACCTTTGAAATATAAACGGAACCTGGTAAAGTGTCCGGTTCATAGGGCTAGGTTAATCTTTTCAGACGACTATCTCAATGAGGAGCTTAAGATTATTAGAGAATTACTTAGAAAAAATGGTTATCCAGACAAGTTCATTGAGAAAAATATGAATTCAGCAACCTAGGACAGTCAGTATGGCTACAGTTCCGAAAAAACCAATGTTCATAAAACTGCAGCTCCTTAGTGACAACATCAGCGAGATAGTAACACACAAGAATGCAGTTAAAAGAGCTTGTTATGCAGCAGAGGTACGTTGTCTCTTCATAACCAACCCTATTCTACATTCGAGAAATAAGGATAAACTATCTAAGTTTACCTCTTCTATGTGTATCTACCAGTTTGACTGCAGCTGCGGAGCCAGCTACATCAGGCGTACAATTAGGCAGGTTCATCATCGTATTTCCGAGCATCATTCAACATGACTAAGCAAAGGAAAAGCAAGATCCGTTCATATCTAGCTCTGTTTTAGCACACTTTGTAGATATTGAGCATAAGGTTGACGTTGATACAGTATTTAAAATTATTTATTGCATTCCTTTTGATCTTAATTTTGCTATACGAGTTCGTCTTCTACACACAGCTGAAGAAATAGTAGTTCTGAATGTGACTGTTGATGGTTTCCGCCACTATGTTTATTAATTAGAACTGAGCAGAAGTCAGCAGTTTGACTTCGCTCCCTTTATAAAATCGATAAACATTCTGACTTGGAAATATACATTGTATGACTATGAATATAAGACAAATGGTGTTTCATTATTGTTTTCTTTTCACAGTTAACTATTTGAAATAAGATTTCTAAAACTGACGGTTTTCTCTACTTTACTCCAGAGAACTTGAATAAAGTGAACTCAATAAATTGTCAACAAATCGACCTTTATTCTTTGTTTTTAAAAGCAAAGCGGCACGATTGAAACATCAAAAATGCACTGATAATAATACCAACAATCAAAACAAAATGCAATATTGATTTTACTAAACGATGAGGTATTATTTGGCAAATTACTACAAGAGAAGCAAATTAGTAGTCGAACTGCAAAGTGTTTTCAAAATCACAGTTGAAAACTTTGGGCGAAAATTGTTGAATGTTTGGTGTGAGATTTATTCCTGCTGTTGGAGGTGTCTGCATCGACTCCCAGTTTAAAGATAGAGTGTGATTTGCAGTGTTGATCACTTTGCTTATGTGGTAATTGGAATCAGCCATAATGAACCAATAGACGATGAAATCTCAGTAAGATTATGAGATGTTAATGTGTCATTTTTTCAAGAATGGTTTGTAGGAAGTTTGTCTACACAGGCTCGCCATTTAACTAGAAAGTTATGAGTTATAACCGCGATGTATGCTTACAGATGAACAGTTTAAAACTACTATGTTCCAGCTGTCCAGTACTCCCAGATTATTTCCCATGGTTCTCTAACTGGTGTAAGCCCATGGCAAAATCCTCCAACCAGTCATGTGTCATTTCCCGACGATAGTAAGTAAGACAGTTACTGGCCCTGAACTCTGAGGTATCGTTCAACAATCACAACATATCAAAACGGAAATTTTTCTAAACACTGAGGTAAGGCAGTACTGAGAACCAAGTAAAATATTCCCAACAAGGTGGGGTTAAACATTTGACATCAAAAACCACGCACACACACAACACAGCTGGGAAACGGTACAAATTCAGAGTCACACCTGACTCTCTCAAATAAAATCTCAGTCGTAAAACAACACACTATCAATGTAATCATACATCGGCAATGAGAAGCATTAACATTCACGATTCAACAAGTCAGCAGACGATGTGCAAACATCAGAACAATGACATAAAGTCTTGAGGAAAGAGAAATAAAACTTACAAATAAGTTATATAATTGTGACTAGCTCGTTGGGGAAGGATTTTCCAAGCAATTATTCCATTACATAGAAGAAACATCAGTCGATGAGGTCGTGAAGCTTGTCAACTGAATTGACTAGGTTCTGCATTGCGTATGTCAGGCTGTTAGCTGACACAGAATTAGTCTGGAGAAAGGTTGAAGGTGGTCAGTTGAAAACACGACCTTAATCCACGAAGCCGCCGACTGTTGACGGAAATCAGGTACATAGGGAGGTGTAGACTAGCCTGGTTGAGTTTCTTGTGACTGTTGATAAAACGGATGGACTGCCTAAAGTACATAAGGAGAATGTCTCAATTCGAGCGGTCATAGACATGGTTGACTGGCCATATCACCGAATCGCGAAATCGCTACCTGATATCCTTGAATCAGTTACAAGACGTACGACAAAATAAAGCCTCAGAGATACATTTGACTTTATCGACTCAGTCAAGGATGTCAACGTGTATGAAAGACAAATGATCTCACTAGATGTCGCCTCTCTATTCACGAGTATCCCTTTAATAGAAACAATATGCTTCATTTGTAATTACATCGAAACCAACAACATAGAAGTTTCTCTCCCCATAAACTACCTGAAGGAACTTCTCATATGTACGTTCAATATCCAGTTAAAATTCAATGAATAGTTCTATGTACAGAAAGATGGAGTAGCCATGGGGTTTCCTGTCGGTCCACTCTTAGCAGACTGCTTCATGGCGAATCTTGAAAACAACATCCTTGAACTCTTGGACTTATACAAGAGATACGTAGATGATACGTTTATAATCTGTGATGGAAAATGTGATTTAAATTCTCTCCTCAAAACCTTAAATGCAGCACATCCATCAATAAGATTCAACTTAGAACGCGAATTGAACAACTCATTTCCATTCCTCGATGTGCTACTCACCAGAAGACACAACTGTACGATCCAAAGATAGACATATCGTAAGCCAACATGAACTGGAAAGTTAATCAACTTCCAGAGCTTTGTTCCACTGATCTGAAAGAGAAACTTGGTACTTACATTGTGTTCAAGGATTAGAAAAATCTGGTCGGAAGACATGGTAGAGAAAGAATTAAATTTGTTACGTGAACCCCTACTAGAGAATGGGTATGCACCAAGATTCATCGACAGCAACATGAAGGAGAAGCCACCGGTGTCAAACATCGCAACAGTTACTAAGAAGACTCTCTTCATGAACCTAAAATTCAAAGGTGATGTCACAGCGGAAAGTCTCAGAAACTGCCTTTCAAAAAGTCTGAAGAAGACATTCCCAACAGTCACCCTACGTATAACATTCTCCTGCATACAGTTAATCCAGTCTAACGCTAAGGATAAGATACCGCTTTTAGCCACTTCAAATTGAAGTATGCGCTGAAGATGTCACCCAGTAAGGTGATGAAAGCTTCGCAAACTAACCATCCAGCTCAGAGAACAAAACCACATCAAAATCATCCACCTGAGCTACAAATCTGCTCTATCATAACTTCAATGTGTATTTATCAGTTTACTTGATCGTGTGGAACAAAGTATACCGGCCGTACGCAGCGTCAAGTTCACAAACGTATTCTGGAACACTGATCAGCTTGGTTAGCCAGCCAGAATAGAAAATAAAAATAGCAACAGCTCGATCCTCGAACACCTTGTCATCTCCGGACATCGAGCACCCCCACTTGCATGAATGCTTCACAATGGTACACAGAGTCCCTCAATATCGTACAAAGGGATTTCGGATACGCCATCTGTACATAGCTGAAGCATTAGCTATTCGAGACCTGAAACCGGACCTAGGCATACAAAAACGATACATACATTCTCTGACCCTACCATGGACAGAGTAAAGTTCTCACTACAATTTTGCTTCTTTCCTTTATTATGTAACTTCCCTATTATTATTAATGTTCTTAATACTTTTATTATTATTACTATTCCCATCATCCACATTTTATTACCTTTCTAATAATGTTTATTAATAACGTTGCTTTTTCACACAGATCTTATGTAAAACTACTTTATAGCCTTTCCACTAGTTCCTGTCCGTTCTTCACGAGCTTATTGACTTGTCATTATCCCACACTTATTACGTCATTCCAACTTCTGTCTCTTTTTTAACTTACAATTAGTCATACCTTCTTTCACATTACGTTATGTAGTACAATTCTCAAGGACAAAGTTTACCAGTATCTGATTGGTCTAAAGGTTTCTGTGTTAATTATAATTACAATTGTACAGCAGCTCATGAAAGTGCGAATCATCGAAAAGGGAAAATTTTCTTCTTCGCTGTTTGTGCCTTTTTCTTATGACTTAGTATGGGAGTATTTCGTTCAAACAGATAAATGACAGCGCTGATAATCCATTATTTTTTACAAATTAACAATCTTGCTTTTACATGAGAAATACTCACTAGACGGACCTGCTTTTTTATATGTCAGCACAATATTCTAAAAGTACTATTATTTACTTGGGACAAAATATATGCCAAATCGAGCCGACTTCATTCATATAAGTTGGGTAATGAATAGGGAATTAACACAAATGAGAATATTAAAAGTTTTCTAATCATATACGGCTATCTGACTGACTCCGCTCCTACAACGTTTCATTATTATTAGTTGATAGGATAAAAGATTAAACGAGACGGACGTGGAGATGCATAGAACTTAGTTTTGAATCGTATAAGTTACTTTTTCATTTAGTCATTTATTTTTCTGTTTTTAAAAAGGCCATTTCATTCGTTATTCTTTCCTCTATTTCTGTGTTTTATTCATGAGAATAAAGACTTAGCTTATTTGTAATAAGGAGAAACACTTAAATTGTTATCCAGTGATTTGATTGGTTGAATTGAATCAAGTCTGTAATTTTCTATTGACCAATCAAATTGCCGATTCTCTGTCTAATTAATATAGTCAGATTCATTTTTTTTGGCTACTTCATGAATCATCATTGTACTTCCTTGTATTTGATTGTTATCAAAAAGGAATTTTATCATTTTATGTAACTCACATGCATTTTTGAAGATTGTATAACCAAAATTAACTATTTTGGCATTATTGAATGTTATTTGTGCCCCCTTGAAAGGTAAGTCATATTTATATACGTATATATATGTAAATTACTGTGACATGTATGCTACTTTGGTAACGTGTGTTGGCATCAAGAATTCACAAAATCATAAATGCATAATTTACCATTTCGAAACTCTTTATTTATGATTACACCAGTGAATACGTTCTCTGTTATAGTAGATTTTAAACTGAATAGCCTTCATTCGGTCGCAGAATATTCTTTTCGATGAATTCCTATTCTGGCTCTACAGTTATATATATATATATATATATATATATATATATATATATATATATATATATATGCATAAAACAACCTAGAATAATCGTCATTAACATTATCGACGTTTATTTTATTTATGTCGCAACCAAGTTGACTTTCAACAGTTTGAAAACAATTTGGCCATTGGGCGGCATGTGATATTCATTATAATAAAGGTCGTTTTTTGTATTTCCCAATGAATGAAAAACAAAAGCGATATTATCATTTTCGCTGAGGTTTTACTATTTAATGCTGCTTCTAATAGCCTTATCAAAGTATTATTAAACCAAAATTTACAAAAATCACAGTTTATATATAATAATAATAACCTAATAATCTTTCCTCAACATGGGGTAGATCATCACACCCTATCAGGTATCAGTTGTTTCAAGTCCTCTTCAACGAGCACACTCTTTGATCTAACAGATAGGAACATTTCTGAGGCTCTGTCAAACAAAATAACTACCTAAAGAACTTCACCAACAAAATCAACATAGACATTAAGTATGGTCGAAAACATATTCTGAAGGCATGGACCCCAACACTTATCATTCCATGTAGATCAGAGATATCAGGAGATGGGTATCAGAGAAGTACTCTATAAGCACAACATCAAAGTTTTTACTTCAGAACATCGGATACACACTACAAAACAACCATGCCCATATAAAAGACCAAAATCCCTAAAGATTCTTTATCTAATTGCGTCTTTAAATAAAAAAAATGCTTGCAATATGATGAGATATACATTGAATAAACATCGCACAAAAGAGAAATCAAAATTAGAAGAAATGAATATCGTAGAACATCTGTTCGACCATCGAGAAATCCAGTCAGTGAACTAGTAAAGCTTGAAATTTTGAAATAATACGGAAAATTTCAGAAATCACAAAGAACGTCGTCTAATATCATCAGAAACACTTCATATCAAGCGGAATGCAAATTTCCTGAACTGAGTGTGAATGATGGACTAAAACAGAATTTGACTTGGTTACAGCATCCCGCTACACCATGAAATGAAAAAATCACCACAAATGTGATAATCAATTTTATTATGTAAATACACGCCGCTCTTTTATAATTTTACACACCTATCACATCCAACAACAATCTACACCTGGTTTTGTTATCTTTACCAATTGGCTAACTTGACCCTATTCTGAAAAAGGATGATTCAGTTGTTATATATAAGCTGATATTTTATAAATTCTGCTTCGATGAAGCTTTCAGCATTAAATGACGAAACGTTAACGAAAACGACCATAACGTTTTGTATTTCATTCATTGGGCAAAACAAAAAAAATCCTTTTGTCGTATTGATGTGTTGTATAAATAATATTGATCTGGTAAGATCACGATGGATTTACAGTTCGAGAATGCTTTGTAAAATGTAATAAGCATACGAAATGCAATACAAAATAGATTACGAGAAAATTTAGGAAAAAAAATTAGAAATAGTTAAAATCTTGATGGCCAGGGTAGGGATAACCTTTAAAAACCAACTTCTTTAGAATACATAAGTTAGGCTACTTAATGTGGATCCCCACAGCTTCAAATTTATGTGCAGCAGATGAAGTTTCGAAGTGAATTTCACAAAAGTAGGAGTGTCGTAGTAGATGACTTTGAATACCTAGTTGATATCGATCTTGTGTTCTGTACCCTCAAGATGAGATAGACTATGAATGGATACCTCGGGTGTTAAAGATAAACTACACAATTTTGCCTCTTCTATATGTATCTGCTGATTGCAGTTCTATTGTGGAGTCAGTGACATAAGGTGTACAATTAGGCGTTTTCGCCATGAGAATTCCAAATACCATCCTCCTCTCTTAAGCCTCAGACAAACAGAGTACATTCATAGCTATATACTAACTCACCTCGCGGGTATAGAACACTTGACCGACATTGACAAGGCCCTCAATGTCACCTAAAGTATTCCTATTTATAGTACGCGCTCACCGGAATTCGGACCCAGGACCTTCCGGTTACAAGGCGAGCTCGTAGACCATTTATCAGCCACTGGGACCCAATCCAATGGTCATTAAATTCTAATTTCTGCCAATTCACGACATAGCGCAGCCGCTAGCCAATGTCTTCGGCGAGTATTTGTCCTCTCACCCGACCGGCTGCACCCTAGTGGTCACGACTTCCCACTGGAACCCAGGTAACTACCTACCTGAATAGGGCCAGTTGCCAGTGAGCATCTCATTGGTATTCAAGTGATGGTTTGTAGGGATTTGTTTGGTTTCAGGATTTCATCATGAGCTGACATTAGTTAGAGAACCATTGGAAAACCTGGGAGTACTGGATCGGGTCCCAATGGCTTAATGATATACGAGCTCGTTTTGTAACCGGAAGGTCCTGGGTTCGAATCCCGGTGGATGCGTACTGCTGAAGAGTCCCAAACTAGGACGAAACAGCTGTCCAGTACTCCCAGGTTTTCCAATGCTTCTCTAACTAATGTCAGCTCATGATGAAATCCTGAAACCAAACAAATCCCTACAAACCATCACTTGAGTATTCCTATTTATGTTAACTTCACTTCAAGACTTCGTCTGTTACACAGAAATTTGAAGCTTTAGGGATCCACATTAAGCAGCCTAACGTATGTACTCAGATGAAGTTGGTTCAAACTCTTTCCCTACCTTGGTAATCAATACTTTAACTATTCCTGGTTTGTTTCCGAAATTCTCTGATATCCTATACAGCATGGCATTTAGTATGATTATTACATTTTATGCATCTTTCTTGAACTGTAAATTCATCGAGATGTTATCAAACGGATGTTATTTACAGAAATAATATCAACAATGTTAATGACAATTATTCTAGAATTTTTTTATGTCGCACAGAATTAATAGGCTCGACAGCAGAGCAAAATTGCAATGATACCTGACTTGAGATATTTCTTTTGTACACAAAACTCCAGTTTTTTTTAGGCAGGACGCAGTAGTCTCTGCTGTTTGAAGTGTTTGGCATTCAGGGGGCCTTTTTGTAATTTATTTATTTATTCCTGGTAGATGAGAGCAGAAGATTACTCACTATTAGCTTTCTGGCCTGTTTTCTTGCGGCTGTTCAACGTAGTATTGTTGATGGTTCTAACAACACATTTGCTTAACCATACCAGTAGGTATCATGTGTGTGTGTGTGTCTAAAATCTTGATCTAATGTAATTTTTGCGTTGTTGTGTGTGTTGATGTCGTAACCAGTAGGGTGCAGCAGGTCGGGTGTGAGGACAAATACTCGCAAAGGCATTGGCTAGCTGTCGCGTTATGTCGTGAATTGGCAGAATTCAAGGACCAATGGATTGGGTCCCAGTGGCTTTATGGTATATGAGCTCGGCATGTAACCGGAAGGTCCTGGGTTGGAATCCCGGTGGGTGCGTACTGCTGAAGAGTTCCAAACTAGGACGAAACAGCTGTCGAGTACCCCCAGGTTTTCCAGTGGTTCTCTAACCAATGTCAGCTCATGATGAAATCCTGTAACCAATCAAGCGAATCCCTACAAACCCATACTTGAATATCAATGAGGTGCTCAGTGGCGACTGGCCCTACTCAGGTATGTAGTTACCTGGTGTTCCAGTGGAAAGCCATGACCAGTAGGGTGCAGCAGGTCGGGTGTGAGGACAATTACTCGCCACAGAAGACATTGGCTGGTGGTTGTGGTATATCGTGAATTGGCGGAAGTTAGAATTCGTGGGCCATTGGATTGGGTCCCAGTGGCTGATAAATGGTCTACGAGCTCGCCTTGTAACCAGAAGGTCCTGGGTTGGAATCCCGGTGAGTGCGTACTGCTGAAGAGTCCCAAAATAGGACGAAACAGCTTTCCAGTACTTCTTGGCAGGTTTTCCAATTGTTATCTAACTAATGTCAGCTCATGATGAAATCCTAAAATCAATATTTCTTTAAATATTTCTGTCTAATAAAAGTAGAACCTGGTGACGAAGCAGTTATCGGAAAAGGGAATATTCTTCACTTATGTATCAGTCCTTTAAAGTGAGAATCCACTTATCATTAAATTCCCACCGAAATGAATGAAGGATCAGTGAGCTTGATCTCATGACCTGAGTGTCACAGCTTCGATCTTTGTTGAGGTGGTAGGTGTGTAATTTTTAAGCATCCTCAAAATAGGATAGAACAACTGTCCGGTGCTCTCTACCGGTTTTCACTGATCTCTCTAACTAATGTCAATAATAATAATTAACTTTATTCCAAAACAGATAGTACTTATGCAATACAGAATGGAATTCTCAGCAATTGTCACAACACCTTGCATCTGATTTACTCAAAATATAAATAAAATTAAAAATTAAAACAAAATTAACCAGAGGAATTGGTCCACGCTTACGATATAAAGTCAAAAAATATTTTAAGCAGAAATGGAGATCATTAAATATTAATAATAATAGTAATAATAATAACAGTGAGTTTTTTTCAAACAGTATTGTCGATTCACTTTGGAAATTTTAGCATGTTATTATCGAGTATTGAATCGAATGTTCTGTTGATATAGCAGCATGGTGAGGGGAAATACAAAATTAACAGTCATAACACAGCATAAATGATGTTCACACCTATGAAAAAAAAACAAATTAAAACGAGAAAATTGAGAGGACTATAAATATATAAGAAGTACCATAACAATAAAAGTTGATGTTTTAACGCTGAAGAAAATCGTTTATATAGTAGTGCGAAGAAGGTAAATTAGTTCAAGTCAAACACTATTTTTATCACATAAAGTACGTGCAGCCA